GACGACGCCTTCCTCTGTATGACTTTCAATATACGCTTAATGTCCTTCCTGATGGTGCCATCGTTATAGCTGGGACCGTATGTTTGCATCCATTCTCNGCCTTCCTCTGTATGACTTTCAATATACGCTTAATGTCCTTCCTGATGGTACCATCGTTATAGCTGGGACCGTATGTTTGCATCCATTCTCGCTTAACTCGCCGGACATTCTTGTTGAGAGAGCCCGGATGCAGGCTTCTCAAGACCTCGAGTACATGGACCGGGTCTTTGTTACCCTCTAGCCAACTCGCACACTGTGAAATAAGATCGTTCATGATTGAATTATTGATATACACACCACATTTATTATTTCCCGAGTTTCTTGTCTTAAAAGCTACCGGTCGACCACGGCACAATGAACTTATCTTCCTCTTTTTCGACTTCCCTCTCCCTAGGCTTCCTCTTGCTCTGTTACACTTTAGGCACATAACGTCCACATTTCCGATGATGTGGGGCAAAGCACAGTCAAGACGGTCAAGAGTCGGTTGCCGTTCGCTACAAACGGTCCAGATAAGTTCATGGTTACACAAGTTACACCTCCCCCCATAGGAGCGGTCGAGANCCTCGAGTACATGGACCGGGTCTTTGTTACCCTCTAGCCAACTCGCACACTGTGAAATAAGATCGTTCATGATTGAATTATTGATATACACACCACATTTATTATTTCCCGAGTTTCTTGTCTTAAAAGCTACCGGTCGACCACGGCACAATGAATTTATCTTCCTCTTTTTCGACTTCCCTCTCCCTAGGCTTCCTCTTGCTCTGTTACACTTTAGGCACATAACGTCCACGTTTCCGATTATGTTGGGCAAAGCACAGTCAAGACGGTCAAGAGTCGGTTGCCGTTCGCTACAAACGGTCCAGATAAGTTCATGGTTGCACAAGTTACACCTCCCCCCATAGGAGCGGTCGAGTTCTTGGACGAGAGCTTCTCCATGCTGCCCCCCCTCATCAGATTTTAAACGCCCAGCCGCAACGTCGGCATNGAGAGCTTCTCCATGCTGCCCCCCCTCATCAGATTTTAAACGCCCAGCCGTAACGTCGGCATAGATGTAGCTTGAAACCTTCCGAGAAACCCACGATATTCTCTCTCGATCGGACATGTCGCTTTCGCTCCGGTGAATATCGTCGACGACCCTCACGTTCGAGGGTCCGGTCGCTCGACTGACAGTCGTGTACAGCCAGTGGACGTCAGCGTGACGGTGCCGGGCCTGATGTATGATCAACCTCCCTTCCACGGTACGGCCTTGGACCGCGTGTACTGTGCATGACCCTGGAGGATCAAAAACGTTTTCTGCCTCCGCTCGACAGAGTGAAGTTTCCTCAAGACTAGCACCGCCGTCAAATGCACTCGCGACGACGACGGTATCTGCCGAGGATCGAATGACGTTGTACATGTGATTCTTGTGATTCTTGCCCGGGTTCCCGAGGTCCCGGTATTGCGCACCAACCACCGTCTGACACCCCAGCCCATCCCAGTCCCCAGCTTCGTTGCACCCCAGCAAACCTCGGAAGGCGTGGAATCGAGCACATTCTCTTGTATACGCGAGGTGAAAATCTGAAGGGCTGGGATTTTCGATATGCTCCCCGCCAAACCTCGCGATGGCTCGAGTCTGCGCCTCGTCACTGTCGTTTCCTGCGGCCAGAGTGTGCAAGAGGTCGTCATCCATCTCCGCTTGGTCTTCGAGAGTTTTGTCTCGCTTGCGCGCGAAGACATGGAAACACGTGGGGAAGGCTTTTTCGACGATGACCTTCCTGTCGACGTTGTCCCTGCTAATCGACATGCCGCTGCTATCGCAAACGGGCTGGAGTTGATGCGTGTCGTATGTCCCGATCACGTGGGTACCGCTGCTGCTATGGGCAGCCGCCAGGATCATGCTTAAGGTCCGGAGAGGAATATAAGCAGCTTCTTCGATGATGATTACGTCGACCTTGAGCGTTCGTATCGATCCCGCCGTCTTCTTCACGTAAGAATCATCACTCAGGTAGAATCCGAGCTGGTGGTCAGCGGTCTTTACACTCCACCCGGATGGAAGATTTGGGTAGGACGTGCGCAGGCTATTGGTGGGGGTCAAGACTAGTCCTGTTTCGAATGTGGCCGTAGCAGCGCGGATAGTGCGGTAACTTTTCCCGGCCCCTCCATGTTCTCCGTANCGTAGCAGCGCGGATAGTGCGGTAACTTTTCCCGGCCCCTCCATGTTCTCCGGTCACAGCACAGACGATACTTGAACCTTGCGGAGTCAACAAGCCGCGGAATAAACTTTTTAGTATCGATGGTGACTCGGCCTCGCATATTTCCGGCCACAGATCGCGCTTGGTGTTCAGGCCGAGACGACGCCAGGCATCGTGCGCGCCTTCCATCGAATGGAAGCTGGTGCCGATGCCATCCCACAGCGGGATCACTGAAAGCGGGGGCTTGAATGATCAAGGAATTTTTCTCATTGCCGGGGGAAACGCATCTAGCGATAGCTTCACCACGATGCCTTCGAACACCCTCCTCTCCCCACACAGCGGGTTCTTCAACGCCGGTCCAAACTTGAGAGTGACGGGAGTTTTTTCGTCGCCGCTAAACAAATGGTCTAAGCGGAGTGCAATCTTTTCTTGTACCGACGAAGATCCCCTGAAGAATACCGCGTCACACTGGTAGCTAAAGTCGGACGCTCCGAGAGCGTTCCTCGCCTCCAACACTCGCAATCGAGTTTCGTCGAGGGTGAGGGTTCCCAACGCCCAGAAGCCATCTCTATACCAGGTCCGTTCTGCGTCGAAACAAAGATATGCATTACCGGTGCGAAGTGAATCGATTCCAAGGTCCCCTTGTCCCGTCCGAAGCTCGGCCTTGACGCGATCGACTTCGCACAGAACAGGGACGATTTTTCCACCCACAGCCGAAGCCTCGTCACTGCTCGTAACCATGACGGCATCTATCCTGTCCGCGTATCTCTGCTGCACATACCGCTGACCCGCACGAATATTCCTTTTTTGAATCGGCGTGCACAGTCGGCATCCTCGAGTATGTGGCACCTGCTGACCGTTCTGGATGGTCGCACGAAGTGCGTGACTCTATGGCGAGGTGCGTTGTCGATGAGCTCGAGGTAACGCTTGTAGTTTCGACCGAAGACGAGCGTCACATCCGCATTAAGAAATACGTCTGGCTCACCGAGCGCGTCGAGCTTGATTACGTATAGCGTCCAATCCTAGATGTTTAATGTATTTTCCGAAGTGTCATTTTTATTATTGTTTTTCCACGAAGTCTGGAAGGTAACTCTCTGGCCAATAACGAGGGGACGACACCAGTCGCTTCCCTCTCTCCTCCAGAGTCCAAGTTCCTCTTCCATGTCAACTGGCAGGTCCAAACAAAATGCCGTCTCAGTACACCGAGACCCCCCAATGGTACTCCATACCATTGGCATCCACCTCCCCAATCAGACCCTCATACCCCAGTTCTCCGTGGAAATAATAGCAATCATCAATCGACATGTATGTCCCTTCCAATGTATGCATCCTCCCCGTATACATACCCTAGTCATCACTCCCCCGCCCTCTTTCGGAAAAAAAAAATCGAGGGTGGCGTGGGTGGGAAAGACGACAACACTAGCTCCCTGGAACAGAACGTCTTAACAGGTAGTAGCTGGCAGTGTTGTCCACTCGTATGTTTAGCAGTCCCTGTACTCCAGCACTGATGATGCTTCAACGTGATCGGACGCAAACAGAATGTCCTGCGAGCAGCTGCCTTCGCTCGGTGCGCATGCCTCCTCTTCTATACGCACGCAGACATCCTCTTTGCACACAATAATAAATGCTCACTTCTCATCAACTCTAATAAACACCAATTTCAGACTCCTTCCCCCTAGGTTGGATCCATCTGAAATACTCGCTTGTGGCCATCGAACTCCTCCACCTCATCCATGTGGCCGAAAACGGGTACTGTCTCCATATTCATCAGAGTCGCCGTGTGTGCCCCATTGATGTCACATTGCCAGTCTTCCCTCCCGTAGGAACTCCCGGACGCGTCCTCTGCCCCGACGATCGGCCCCCGCCAGCACGCCTCAAGGAGGGCGAGCAGAGACTTGCTGTACTGGCTCGATAATCGGAAATCCAATACTCCGCGGCAGAACTTCAGACCCAGGGCATTATGCAGCTCGATCAATCGTGTTGCCTGGTCGGGCTCGAAGTCATCGGGATCGAGCCCACCCATGCTCGCGCTG